TTTTTTCGTTCGATGGAACAGATTTGGGAATGGCCAGTGGACGCAGGCTAGCAGGCAGACGTACAATCTTGATGATGCTTTGACCAGACACACCACACAGGTAACTACTATACATAACTCCATGTATCATGTTAATAAATTTGCCTAAAATGACCAAAATGTTTGAGTTGGAGTTCATTTTAGTTCATTGGCTCATTATTCCTTCTGCTTGCAGGTATATCCAAAATCATGGACTGCCATATTAGTGTCTTTGGACAATCAGGGCATGTGGAATCTGAGGTCGGCAATGTGGGGAAGGCAATATCTCGGGCAGCAGTTATATCTGAGGGTTTACAACCCGACACCATCTTTTGCGAATGAGTACGACATACCAACTAATGCACTGCTTTGCGGAAGAGCTGTTGGCCGAAAACTTATTTAAAATGTAGTTAACGGCAGAACACTTGCTAATTAGTAGGAAAGGTGCATGTGTTCGTGTCGAGTATTTATTTGTTGAGTTTTTTTCAAAGTCATGAGAGGTTGGCTGATATCTACACACGGCGAGGGAGAAATCTAGAGATGTGTACTTCACGACGATATTTTTCTTATAAGATGATGCTTTCTGCAGTTGGTCTGAAGTTTAGTTTGATAATCCTTTGCTTGGAATTAATTTTAAGGTAAAGAAATGTCATGTACATTGGGTTATATGACGAGTTGCATGGGTTTTACTTGTTGACTGATTTAGGTTATGTTTAATAAAACGATAGCTAATACTTTCTGATAATTACACAATCAAAACAAGTGGAATTTTGACCTGTTCCTCACAAATGTCATCCCCATAGATGAAGACATTAGGCATTTCCATTGCAATTTTAACTATCCACTTGATGGTCAAAAAAGTAATATACAATTTTTTATTGGTGTTGTAATTTTTGATTGGGCAATCTTAGTTGCTATGTTTAATTTTTTAGAGGCTTCCTCTTCTTCTCAAAACGAGTCACACACCTCATGGGTGTAACCTTCAGGAACACCTTGTCGCTCACATCGAACTGAAAGTCCTTCCTTCGTTGGTCGGCTTACGACTTCCGTCAGTTCTGGCCGTTTTAATCCTTGCATGGATCTATGAACTCTTCTCAACTGTTTGCTTGATCTACTCTAAACCTCGGATCTTTCTCTCGCCATCTTCATCCCCGTATATTGGCGATTTACCCTTGCATCCGTACAAGGTCGTACTGCGCTATGCGAATAGTCGTCTGCTAACTGATGTCATAGGCAAACTCACAAGTGGCAAGATATTCTCCCAAGTGTCTTAACTATCCAAAACAAAAGCTCTCAACAAATCTCCAGCGTCTTGACTGTCTTCTCCTGACTGACCATTGGGTCTGCTGCACTAGTTCGGGCTCGTCTGCGGCACGCACAAGGACATCCGTGACGCTGCGCACGCATACACGAGGATGACCGGGCGACTGGCACGACTCACTGCGACACGACACGCCAACGACCTGAGGCCTGCGGTGCGGCGCCTGCATCGCAGTTTACGTGCGTCGCCTACAGTCACATATACGCGAGTTGCACCTGCATCTCGTTGCACTGCGGCACTGACAGTCACCCGATGCACTGTTGTTTAGTTTTTTTTAGCCGAACACGATCGAAAAATCACTCTCAAGTCATCTTTTGAAGGAAGGTGATTCGAAGCATCGTGTACACATTAGTTGTCCAAAACACATTTGTTAACAATACATCCGCTAAATAATTAGTAGGGAAAGTGCATGTGTGTGTCGAGTATTTATTGGTGAGTTTTCAAAGTCATTAGAGCTTTTTTTTTAAAACAAAAGAAGAAAAAAGAAGTAAGAGGTTGGCATGGCTGATATCTACACACAGGTGAGAGAGAAACGACAATATTTCTTCAGATGATGTTTTCTGCAGTTGGTTTGAAGTTGAGTTTGATAATCCTTTGCTTGAATATAAGTTCAGGTTGAAAAGTCATGTACGTTGGGGCTGCATGAGAGGCAAATCTTTTTGTAGTTCCTAAGTTATATGATGAGTTGCATGGGTTTTACTTGTTTACTGATTTACTAGCTATAATTGTACTATTGAAATTTTCCCCAGAACTCTGTATCTTGACACAACATCAACCTCGATAATATAATTACATGTGCATTGCATTTTGTACGAGTTGCACGACTTCCATGTCGACTAGTAGAGCTCCTTCCACATCACGCATAGATTTCGTAGCATAATCATAATGAAAGAGAGAAGAATAAATACGAGTTCATTAACACATGTAATGTGGTTCAGCCATGACAAAGTGCGAAAATTTACATGACTTTTGGCACAACAACACACACAAGTTTAACATTCAGCTGTTGAAATACTACTATCCGGCAGCACGGATTAAATCTCTTCAACCCTACTTTATTCAATAGATTTTTTGCTGCCTAGGCCTAGCACTTACCGAGAGGAGCTAAACGTCTCCTCAGAAGCACTTCCGGTGAACGATGGAAGGCCCGGTTTCGTCATACTCTCCTCTCGTCACATGTTGGTTTTGAGGAAAGACCACTTTAGCAAGTATGGCACCTCCTATCCACGCTGAATATTTAGCCAAGTTATCTGGCATATACTCCGGAGGCTGAGATTAAAACAAAGGGATTATAAAAAATTAATCATTACGATAAATGAACTGCATAAAAATGTTTGATAAATTGCGGTTTTTCAATGGTAATAAATTTATGCAAACACGCCAATCTATGCTAACATAAAATTTTGATTAAGCTTAGATTTTTTTTTATTATTTATTTATTAAAGCAAGTAGACATGTTTTGCCCAGATCAAAGTCCTTACTGTTCGCTAACTTTATAATTAGCCTACGGAGGTCTCACAAAGTTCTCCTCGACTGTTCATAACATCTAATTACAATTATGTCTAACCTAATTTGGCAACTGCACCAGTTGGGAATTAAAGTTGTCCAGATTCTAGGAGCTATATTACCTTCACATTTGCCTAATTTCTGCCCTTTTTTCTTCCTGCAAAGGAAAAAAAATCTTTTTTTACGAGGTAGAAATCTCCTACAAAATCTATAGGCATTTCTATCCGGCAGACTATGAAACTAAGGCAGCTTTGTATTGGGCTTTCTTTGGGCGTTCCGTCATTGTCGTAGGTCCTTCCCTTTCATTACATCGGTGTGGATTGCCGCGCGAAATAGCAATCGAGCTTTTCCAGCCATTAACTATTATTTAATCGGTGAAATTGGAAAAATTTATAAACCCGACGCGTGCAGTAACATTATTTGGGCTTACTCGCTTTCTACCCCGATTACTACCCTTGTTGGACCTGGGAACCCTGTCTCCTATCTAAAAACCCGTGAATATGAAAATATTTCTATAGATTTCCCTTCTATTTCCCTGAAAACTAGGGATGAAGTTAAGAATTACCTTCACAAGGCAAGGCCTGATAGCAGAGGAAGAAAGAGCAGCTTCCTTCTGGAACCTCTCTTCGAAACCTACGACGGCAAAAAACATTTAACACAGAAAACTAATAATAGATTCTTAATAGCATGTTTGCCTCCCCATATAGCAGCAGAAACCCATCATATCCTATTACAAACCACAGTTGAAAAGGAAAAAAAAAAAAA